ATGCACGCTTTGGAATGCCAAATCGAGAGTGGAATCCTGAACTGCAGGGCTTTAATTCTAAAGCAGGGTTTCTCAACCTTGGCTACTTTCAGATGGGTGGACTTTAACTCCCAGAATTCCCCAGCCAGCTGGGGAATTCTGGGAGTTGAAGTCCACCCATCTGAAAGTGGCTAAGGTTGAGAAACCCTGCTTTAGAATTAAAGCCCTGCAGTTCAGGATTCCACTCTCGATTTGGCATTCCAAAGCGTGCATTTGGCTTTTAACGGAGTGACGCATAGGAACCAGAAATTAAATACAATTAACAGCCAGATCCACTAACTAGTTAAGACACAGTGCTTGGCCATGTGCCAGTCTGGTTTAGAGGATTACAAGAAAAACATCTTGCTCACAAAGAGCAGAATGTCTAACCAGACTTTAGAGATGGAAGCTGGGCCTTCTTTATGGCTGATCTGGTTATTCTTTGGGGACAATTTGCCCTTAATGCCTCGAGTTGCAAACTCATCAAAAGGACTTACTTGCCAAGACAGCGAGCTTTGTAAATAGGGGGGTTGTCTTGGGGGAGTAAGAAGGAACTAGCTAGCTGTACTCCATCCAGCCCTCTCAGTCTGCCTGGAAAAACAGGTCACTACAAGCCAACATTGTCCCGGGTGCAAAGAATCCTGCTTTGGAGAAATCAGAGACTGCAATTTAGCCATGGCGATTCATTCATCCCAGGGAACATTCAGGATCCTGTTTATTCTGGGAAAAGGCAGAATTCTCAGGGGTGTCATTCACGGAACATTTGAATGTTACTCAATTAGCCCATTTTTCTGGGCTTGTACAAGTGACAAACGGTCTCCAGGTTAGCATATCGGGTTAAGCCACAGAACGACGAAGCCAGGTGAAAACTAAGCAGACCTAGCAGGAGTGGCAGTGCAACCCCTAAGGCTATGATTGTTCTGCTTAAATGGGTTGTGTGAATACAGCCATTCATAACTCTGGATTGGCAGGCAAGGGTTGCTGAAGGAGCATTGACCAGGGAGAAATACAGTCTGTGCCGTAAGAGGGAGAAATTGCAAAAATCCTGGAGGGGAGGCAGGGGTGGGAGGGAAAGGTGTATAACCTAAACTAGAAGTTGGTCGTTCTCCACCTGGTTGTATTAGCATTTTTGTGAATGGAATGCTTGGGCTTTTCATATTGTGCAAAGATTTTTCTGGCTCGTAACTTCCTTAGGCGCTCAGAGTCAGTGGAAGAGCTTTGGGGCCATGAGAAATCGAGTAAATGGTTCAGGCTGGGCCTAAACATTTGTGAACTAGAGTCCATTGTACTCTGCAGCTTCTCTCTCTTTCTCCTTCCCTGTCTAGTCAACAGTTATATAGGTCTCTATTGACCAATGTCACCTATAGATTGATTTGTTGGAACGTTCAGTGCAATCCCACAGGAGTTGATTCCAAAATTAGTTCTCCCTTTGCTCAGATTTCCATTATGCTTAATAAGGCTTGACCCAAATAAGCCTACTTATTTCAGAGAGCTATCATTGTTTCCACTTTTCTGATTCCCCTCAACTGTTTGAAAAGCATGAGTAATGTGTAGTTTTCCCAAGGCCACTCATTTCTCAGGCTCCTTCCCACCGATGCTTTAATGGTGGTGGGATCTTGTGTTTATAACATTTACTAGCCCTCAATCTAGAAGTAACATTAACTGTATATTCCAATGCACATACAGATAAGGTTGGACCTTCAAACAGAACTTTAATTGAATCAAGCCTTCCAAACGAGGGGGTTGATCTGTCTGCATTGGTCGGATACAACCTGCTCAAGAGTTTGCTTTTAATATTTTATTTGCCTCCCAGGTAAACTTACAATGAATTTATACTTGAATATGACTCATTTTTCCCTTGGTATCTCTTTGTTTTTAATTCACCATGTAAGGTTTTCCCTGATCACAACTCCCCAACGTTTACATAGGAGCTATTTTACATAAGCTGTTTTCTTGAACAAACAAATAAAGGAACAGCTATTATGTTAGGTTGTAAAAAAGAAAAAAAAAAGGAGGAGGAAGGAAGGAAGGAATGAAAAAAAAAGCATAGTATACAGTAATTGCCTTTAGCCTCCTCAAAAACCTGCCCAAGATATCTATTTAGGCTTTCTCATTGATTCCATTTCCATTACACAGAGTAAACAGTTGCTCAGAAGAAGAAAAAGAAAGGGGCCCTTTCTCCGAGGGCACTCCGAGCCTATTAAAATAAAGAAAAGCCTGTATTTGTTTAGCGTTATACAATTGCAAAAATTTCAGGCGTGTGCAAACTTGTCACTCAACTCGACTCGATTTATCACAGTCAAAATGCCTTGTCTCAGGAGCGGGGATCTTTGCCGAACACTATGTTAAACACTTCATCTTTCAAAAGAAAGAGGGAGCGAAGGAAGCCCAAACTTTTGATATTCCTGCATTCTTCCTCTTGTCTCTGTTAACATCAGGCTCTTGGCCTGAAAAGCAACCCCTGTGCGCACACCTACAGGCACACACACGTCTCCTTTTGTTTCCTTCTCATGGAAAAAACACAGGGGTGGCTTTAAATCGAACAGTCTTGAGATGAGGGTGGAAAAGGTATTTCTGAATCTCCAGGTGACCTTAGAGCAGGAGAGAACAATCAAGTCCAATGCTTCTCTTGATTTGTTTGGGCACCATAACTCCAGGGTGTCTTGGGGCAGCTTCAAATCTAAGCAGTTTAATATCTTAAGCTTACACTTTGGTGGATCACAACCCACTTCATCAGAAGGTCTTGTGTTTGAGTCAAAGTATGAGATGATTACATCTTTGCATCTCACTCCTGTGGATGAAGGTAGCTCTGTGTCTACAGAAAAGCTGCGTTACTTGGTTCAGCAGCCCCCACCTTGGTGGAATTAGGGTCAGATGATCCTTTGAACCTTCTTCTCACTGTTGTAGGAAGCTTATTCTTCCTCCTTCTGAATTTCTAGTGCTATGGACAACCTAGATGGCTTTTTAAGACTGGGGTTTCTCTCCCAGCACCCAACCTCAAAACAAATAAAATGACAGAAAGGGGCAAAGGTTTGATTAGGGTATTGTTTTCTGCTAAGGAACTACCAAGGAGAAAACCACACCCCCACCAACACTGACAGGGCAAGCTACTGTATATAAACAGGGAGCAAACTCCGCACTCATTCGGACTGATGATGTTACCTAGTTGGGTGATGAAACGTCTGCAAGCAAACAACCAAACTCAGAGCACCAAGGACTCCATAACACTAGACGTAGCTGAAGAACAAGTTCCAACCACCCTTGTCAACATGGAGGGAGTCCTCTGTAGCAACAGCTGGAAGACCAACTAGTTCTTTATCCTGTCCTAAAGGAGCAGAGGAGCCAAAACATTGGGGCAATCTGCCATTTTTAAAAGGGGGTTTCAGATTAGTGGGTGGAACCAGATGTCTCTGTAGCTCTACTTGAGAGTTCGAGCCATCCGGCTGTGCAGTGGTTCACGTTTACACCCTAGAGGCCACTGCCTAGAGTCCTGGAGATGTCACGCTGTCTGTGAGCTGACCAATTCTTGTCTTTTCTCCCCCGCTCCCATTTCCTGTTCTGTCGTTTGTTGCAGATACAGTGGAGAGTCGGCGGGAGTATGAGCGGGAATCAGCTAGTGGGACACCACTCCACGCAGATCCAACTCATCAGCAGCTCATGTCTCGGGTGTTAAGTCCGGCGCTCCCGGTTCCTGGTGGAGGGGGCTTGGTTCCACTCACTAGTCCAGCTGGAAGCCGGCCTAGTCCCCCGCACCACGAGCTGCGGCTGGAGCCATCTGCTTCCGAGCCTCTCCATCACCATCCTTACAAACATCCGGTCTCGGCCTACGACCATTATCTGGGAGCCAAGAGCCGATCAGCCCCCTATCCCTTGCCCAGTATCCGGGGACACAGTTACCACCACCATCATCACCACCACATGAATCCAGCAGCGGCGGCCGCAGCGGCGGCGGCCGCAGCTGCGGCCAACATGTATTCTTCAGCCGGAGCTCCCACCAGCTATGACTATGGACCGAGATAACCTCTTGGATGCAAGGTCCTTGAGCTCTGACTGACTCTTTGCATGGTGTGAATTGCTCGGTAGCATACCTTTGGGAAGAGTTCCCCGTTTCTGTGATGGGGGTGGGGGGATCGCCGTCATCCCTGGTGCACACATTTTCTCCTCTGCACCGTCTTCTCCCTTCCATCACCTTCTGCTGTTGGATGCATCGTTCAAGACTCCTGTTGTCTTTCCCATCCAGGGGACGAAATGCTTGGCCCGTGTTAGGGGCATATATGGCGAAGTGGCAGGAGTCTGGGGCTCTCCCGGACCTGCTTGGCATCTCCTGCCGCTGCGCTAGAAGGGCACCTTTCTCCTCTCCTCAGCCTTTCCCTGGACCCAGGGACGAGCAGCTGCACTTCCCCTTCTCCCTTGCTCGATCAACGAAGCATCATGGTGTTATTCCCTGCCTGGTTTAGCACCGACGCACTGCTATACCTGCTCGGTCTGCTGGACTGACGCCACTGGCAGTGCTGCTGCAAATTAGGCCAAACGTTGCAATGGGGAAGGCTGCAGACTCAGAAAGAAGGCAGAAACTCTGATTTCTTTGTGTTTCAAACCAGACCAAGAAAGTCTGCAGTGGTGGAAGTCCACCATTTGCAAGAACTAGGCAGCAGGATCTTGAAAGCCCTACCTGTAAAGCTCTCGAGTTTAATCCTTACCCTCCCAAAGCAGGATTGCTCTCTTTCTTTCTCCTCAAAAGGAGCAATCTCTGCTGTTGACGCTAGTTCTCACGATTCCTAGGCTGCAAAACCAGGAAGAGGCTTCACTGGGACATCTAGCATAGAAATCGGGGAGCCTTCACTCGGCTGTCCTCTGTTTCTCTGCTTTGTTTGTCCAGCGAGAAGCCCAATGGGCTGGTGATGCCTATAGGAATCGCTTTCTCCCTGCATCAGATTCCCCTTGTTGCTAGACAAGGAAAAAGCAGTGCTTCTAGCAGGAGTAGAGTTTGGTTTCCAGAGTCTTCCACAGAGCAAAAGATTAGTATGTTCCCCATCGCCTAGTTACCGTTCTTCCTAGTGGGGACCAATTCACCTACCAGGACGTGTTTTACAGGGAGGAGGTTGATGATCCGATCTCAGCTATCTCTGTTGGAAAGAACGTGGGAGCAGGTGATTGGGAAAGCAGCCTACTTCTGACCCTGGAGAGCTTTGCCAGTCAGAGTAGACCAATCTGGCCTACAAATATTCTGGCCTGGAAGAAGGCAGCTTCCTGCAAATCTCCCCAACATTACCAAGACCATTGGCAGCCGGGGCAATTTCTTAGTGCTTCAACACTGGCACTGGCTGCTGAGTGATGGGCACAGCTGACGATTGTCAGAGTCTGCATTCTCTCCTGACCTGCACACAGTTGTCATCCACAAGCATGTGCTTAGCATATGCAAGCACATGACTGGTATGGGCAGGGTGGGCCTGGACATGCCGACAGTGGCATCTCTTTGTCACCTGCCACACAGTCCCAAGGCTCTGTTTTGGGCTGGTCCCACGCCAACAGTGTCCCTTAGCTCTGGAACTCCCATTCTAACTAACCAGGCACAGAGGCAGCCCAGCCAACCCCACCAGGTTGGCTGACTTCCATGAACACTCACCATCCCAGCTGCGTATGAGGTCCGGTGAATGCAAGTGAAAACATTTCCCAAAAGGGGACCTCTGAAAGAACGTCCCCCAGAAGCAGCAGAGAAGGTGCTACTTCGGGAGATCCTTTTAGAACGGCAAGAGTCGTATTTATTTATTTATTTTTTGCGTAGGCTAGGGCGTGCTTTAGCATCCTTAAGCATCCCCCAAGGTGGAATAAAACTGAATCCGATGTCTCTCTGGATTGGCTGTTCCCTGGAACTGAGATCTTCCGTTCAAAGTATGCATTGAATTGAATTGCCCTCTTGGGGTGGGGGGAGGGAGAGGTATTATACTCCAAACTGCTCATCCCCCCTCTGTTTAGTTTCATGCAGCCTTTTATCTTGGTGCAAAACTGCATTTCAAGAAATCAGCTTGGACTTCCAGTAAGAGCTATGTCTTCTCTGCTGCCTACAGCTTAGGGGGGAGGTGGTAGGAGGAAAAAAGTGAAAGAGAGGAAAACAGAGTATCAGAGACGCCGGGAATCCCCCTCTATTTGTGGCTGTGACCCCTCCTCATTTTGCATCAATCCTGGTTGCCCTGTAACCCCCCGTAGGTGACTACTACAGAAAGAGAGCCCTAGATTTCTGTCTAGTAAGGTCCCGAGACTGCTCCTGGCCACTTGTAGCCTTCAAAAATGGTTCAACTACTGTATATCAATCAGAGGATTAAATTTCCATACTACGTTTTTCAAGAACGCCCATAATGCTGATTGGGACAGAGATGGTGTAAATAAATTACAGACTCGTAACATTAAAAGCAACCTCAAGGGCACATCTGGTTCACCTGCAACAGGGTCCCTGATAGGTTGGCCCTCTAATCTTTTTTTTTTAATTTGTTCATTTGGGTTCATGTTTTATCCTCCAAATTAAGATTGTTCCATTACATACGCAACCACTTTAAAATCAATGTTAGAAAGCAGCTTGTGCGAGACATCCCTTGTCCCAATTCTTGAAATCTTTAATTTGGGAGTTAAAATAGACTTTCCACTTTAAAAGACAGAATCATTTAACGCTGACTCCTGTGTTGTTTAAAAGTGTTTGGAATAGCAGTTTCATCCATCATTCAGATCATGCATGTCCCAAGCATTTTTCTGAATGGTAGAATTTGTCACATTCACACATTACGGGTTTGGGTTATACTTTAAATATACCTGCATGTGATGGCTGTTGGCCTTGATAATTTAAAACCAAATCACAGCATACAGAAGATCGGTTGCTATCTCTTTGCTATAACAGCAAGATGGCATTTCTATTCTTGGAGATCATATATCCCATAATTGCAATACTTTTGCTGTTCAAGATCAGCTTAAACATCTGGCTCGCCAATGCTGGAAACTGGAAACTAAGATTAGATAGACCGAGACTTGGGTCTGATTCAGCAAATCTCTTTTTACGTTTTTTCCTTGTTTCTTGGCTAAGCCATAAATGAATTCCAAAGCTGCTTGGTCTGAATATGAGGTTTGTTGCATTCATTCTGACTCATTTTGACCTAGAGATTGAAGTTCTCTCCCTGCTGCACGATTGATTGATTGATTGATTGATTGATTGATTGATTGATTGATTGATTGATTGATTGATTGATTGATTGATTGATTGATTGATTGATTGATTGATTGATTGATTGATTGATTGATTGATTGATTGATTGATTGATTGATTGATTGATTGATTGATTGATTGATTGATTGATTGATGATGTGCCATCAAATTGTTTTTGACTCCTCGCGACCACATAGACTTCCTCCATGACAATCTGTCCCTAACTTGGTCCTTCAGGTCTCCCAACAGTGCCCCAATCACCATTGTAATTGGGTCCATCCACCTTGCTGCTGGTCATCCTCTTCTTCTCTTTCCTTCCACCTTTCCCAGCATTAGAGCCTTCTCCAGAGAGCTGGTCTTCACATAATGTGTCTGAAGTAGGATAATTTGAGCCTGGTCATTTATGCCTTGAGTGAGAACCCTGAGTTGATTTGTTCGATGATCCATCCGTTTGTCGTCTTAAGCTGTCCACAATATTCTCAGGAGTCTTCTCCAACACCAACGTTCAAAAGCATCAATACTCTTCCTATCCTGCTTGTTCAACTTTCACTTCCATGGAGGGTCACAGGGAATACCATGGCTTGCAAGATTCTGATCTCTGTAGGTATAGACCCATCACATTTCAGTATCTTTTCCAAGGGTATAGACCCATCACATTTCAGTATCTTTTCCAAGGGTATAGACCCATCACATTTCAGTATCTTTTCCACGGCCTTCATGGCTGCTCTACCAAGTGCTAGTCTGCAGCATATTTCTTGACTGCTTGTTCCTTAACTGTTGATGGTTGATCCTACAAGGCAGAAGCTCTCCACTGCTTTGATATCTTCACTGTCCACTCCTCACTGATATCTCATTGTCAATTCACTGCTGCACAGCGGGATTCCCTAAACCAAAATACTTCTTTATATAGGTAGATCTTTCTGCTTTTTTTTTTTTAAGGATGCATTCGTTTTGCAGAATAGAAGCCTTTATTTGTGATTCTGACATAGCCTAAACTTGCCCAGCTCTGGAAAAGAACTTCCTCTCGCTGTGCTCTTAATTCCACCCACTGCAGCTTCTTGTTCAAAGGGGTCTGTATTTCTCGCTTCTCCTCCCCACCCCCAAAATGCAGAGGCTTAAAGTCCCCGGATAATATCAGCAGCGAGGCGTGATATTTCTGAGGCTGCCTTCAGGACAGGTGCAGACAAAACCCAGCTGTAGCCTTTATAATTTTTGCATTGTTATCTTTGGTTTAGCAGTTGCAAAGCTGAAGAATACAATGACGGACAAACCTCACGCCGTAGAAACATATGGTGCAAAACGAGTTTTTTTTCCCTTGCAGTGACATTTGCCGTAGAATTCTTTCAAAATCTGCATATATTCTATGGGTCAAGAACTGTTTGGAAGAATTCTGGTGGAATATTGTCCTGTGTGCATCATAAACCCGAGAATGCACTTTCCATCTTGCTTTGCCTTGTTATCTCAAACTTTGTGGAAGGATTTTTCTCTCCCGAAATGGATCAGTGCCAAAGGTTTGAGTCAACCCTATTGTGACATTGCTATATTTATTATTATTATTATTATTATTATATTATTATTATTATTCTTTTTGTTTTCCCCAAGTGATTATGCCGTTCCTGATGGTTCTTTTTTCTTTTATAGTTGCTGTGTAAAGAGAAAGGATGGAAAAATCAGTGCAACCAAAGAGTCGTATCTGCAAAATATGTAGATAATTTGTAGAT